TCTCTCTTCTCCTTCCTCACACTCTCTCTCTCTCTCTCTCTTCTCCTTCCTCACACTCTCTCTCTCTCTCTCTCTTCTCCTTCCTCACACTCTCTCTCTCTCTCTCTCTCTCTCTCTCTCTCTCTCTCTCTCTCTCTCTCTCTCTCTCTCTCTCTCTCTCTCTCTCTCTCTCTCTCTCTCTCTCTCATACAAATATTTTTGTGCGTGAGCACTCTCATGCTTGCGTGTGTGCGTGCATATGTGTGTGTGAATGTGGATGTATATATGTATGTATTTTTCCCCACTCGGCTATAGGTAAGTATTAATTTTCATGATATGAAGACTTGTTAATTTGTTCACGAATACCTTTAGAAAGTTATTAAAGCTTACAGAAAGCATTCTCTTACCGGTGATGAATGGGAAACATTCATAGCCTCACAGAGGTTTGGTTATATACTTAATGTAGGAGTAGCTACTTCAGAAACATTTAGATAGCTTTCAATGTTAGCTGCTAAGGTGCTTCATTAATGGTAGGAAAGCTAGTTGGTGCAGCATTGGATGTGTCAGTATAATGAATGGATTTTTAAATTTTTTATTATTATTTTATATTTATTTATTATATTTTAAAATTTATTATTATTTATGATATATATATATATATATTATATATATATATATATTATATATATATATATATATATATATATATATATATATATATTCCCCCTCCCCTTTTGATAAATGTATTTTATCGATACTGTTTATACATCTCAGTCCTTTGTTGAAGTTGTGTTCAGTGCTTTTCTATTTTTTCAAGGTTTCAGGTTTATGGAAACTTAAGCCCTGTATATTTTAGCTTTTGGATTGCCAATTTTAAGAGATGTCTACTTTTACCAAGTGCTGTAGTGAATGAATTAATTCTGTTTCATTTTCTTTTATAGACACTATGGCCAAGGGCTTTATAGACACTCCTGTTGAGGAGAACTCTATAACCCGCCCATCAAGCTTAAACACAGGCGAAATCCGCCAGGCCCCACAGGTGGCACAAAATGGTGGTGATGCAAACACAGGAGGAGCAGAAGAAGCACTAGATGGAAGAATAGAGGAAAACTTAGTGTCTGCCATTTCATCACCACCACCATACAGTGCCAGTTTTTCTCCAGCCTCTGCTTCTTCAGGGTCTCCAGGCCCTGAGTATCAGGCAGATCACCATTTCTCACTCCCGATTCTACCTCCTTATCAACAGAATGCTAATAGGTCTGTAGAGGAGCTCAATGAACTAGCTTTACAGGACAGCGAAAACAATAATGTTGATGAAAACTCAAACGACCAGCAGTACGACCAGTATGCAAACTACCACCAAGAGTATGGCCGTCACCAGTTCGTGCCAGACCAGTCAGTCAGGCCACGCACAAGGATGAGTCAGCCGAGCAGTGATGAACCCGACCATGTCCCTTACAATAATGAATATTCCATAAGGAGACGCAGTGGAAGCTTCTCTCACAGGAGGAATCAGTCAGAGGATCTCTCTCTCTCCTCAGCATCCTTTGACAGTGGACTGGGCTATCCACAGCTGCCGAATGTTAATTCTGCTGCTGGTAAGTGTAATGTGACTCTAATTGCTGGACAAATTAGCTTTTAAAAGAACCTGATTATTTCAAGAATGCAGATGTAAATGCCTTGCCTTATTTTTTTAAAAACCTTGTGTGAAAATTTGTTTCATCCACATGAGGTAGGCTTAAGTTTAAATCATTTAATTGTGTGACACTTTGTTAATTGGATATATTAAAACTGCATGGTTATTTTAAATGCATGTAACATTTGATTTAAAAAGAACAGGAAACTAAAAGCTCATTAAACAGGTTACAGCCAGACATACAGACTACCAAGACTGCCATCTCAGCAAGATCGTTGGATTGAAGAGAGGCGTCCTCCTCGCTGTGCACAAACTGGAGCTCATGATACACCACGTGGGTGGTTTCCTCTAAGCTTAAGAGGAGGTGGATATGGGCCGCAGCCACCACCAACGCAGGAAAATGTCAGACAGGAGGCACAAGAGCTGCTTCTGAACTTCACATCAGATGAACTTCAACGTCACCATCTGCATGTATCAGAGAATGACATAATCAGAAAAGGGTAAAAAAGAAATAAAGAAAAAGCTGTTTATTAAACCTTTCTTAGATGTAAACCATTATTATTTTCTCAACTTTGCTTTCTGATACATTTTCTTTATTATTTAATGCCCCATGATGAATCTGCTTGATATGTGATTTTATTTTATTCGGAAACAGATTCTATGTTGTGTCATTATTAATAATTTATTTTATGTTAGAAGCAAAATTATATGAATATGTCTGGAGGCTGGATGATCATGATCATAAATATAAAGAAAAAAATTTGTGTCCCTAATTACCATATTATGTAATGATCATTTTATCTTTTACAGATTTAGTAATCCTGCAATGATAAGGGCTGGACAGGAGTTAAGAATGTTGGCAGATGCTTTTGCTGAAACAGAAGAAAGAAAGAGTGTACGCCGCATGGCAGAAAAGGTCAACATGGCTTCTATTAACATGGAAAACTTTTTCTCTCTTTGTGGGGAACTGTTTCATGTAAGTCAAAGGTGCTTTTCTAAAATGTTTCTTAAAGATACACATTAGAAAGGAAGATCTATTGCTATATGAAAATCTATGCTTACAGGGTGGAATCACAAGAGAGCGAATTGTGGCCCTGTTCACCTTTGTAGGGGATGTTGCTGTGCACCAAGTGAGACACCGTGGAGAACAGTTCCTCAGTGTGCTGCTCAAGTGGTCATTTAGATACCTGGTTGACCACATTTGCAAGTGGGTCCAGGAGGCTGGTGGCTGGGTGAGTAGACCTAATCATGTTGAGAATCCAACTGTGTTATTTCTTGTTCTAAATTTGAGAGACGGTAATATTACCATGGTCAGGCCTTTTGTTTACTATTTGTGTAAATTTAGATTTAAAGTGAACAGAATTTATTTAGATTGTTGAAAATCAATGATCAGTCTTTGATGGTTAAGATGTATTATGAGATATTTGTTGTCATATTGCAGGGGGTGGTGCTGAACCAGGGTATGAATTTTATCTACAAAAGTGTCGTGTTCATGTGCTGCCTTGTTGGAACAGTTGCTGGTGGAGTCTACATATGGAAATCTCTCAAGGAAATGTAACAGTGACTGCAAGATAGGTTTTATCATTTGTCGCTGTTGAGAGATGTCCACACATGTTTTTTTTCTCTTTCAGCATCTTGTGACTTTCTGCATAAAATGTTTTTAAAAAGAGTTGTCCGCAGTCATGCAGATGTTCAGCTGTTTACTCTTTCCTTGGCTTACGATTATGCCTGTACATAGGCTTAGTCTAAAGTGTTAGCATCAGTTGTTGGAAATAGTTGAATAGACAAGTGTTTCTTGTGATTTTTAAGGACTGAATGAAGAGGTGCATGTAAATAGGTATTACTGTTATGTGATATTATTTCTTATGTCTATAAAACAATCCCAGAGTTGCAGAGTGAAAACTTGCAGTGATAAAAGGGAAGAGATAGGAAAATTAAAGTATTAGAAAAAGTGAGATGCACACTTTAACTTTTATAATTAAAGAGTATAAAATGTTTCTGTAAATAATTGACAGCAATCTCTCTAAACAAAGAAACAGGTGTGACCTAAGTTTAGATTTTACATTTTTGCTGATCATCACCACTGGTAAAAAATGTCTGATATTTAACAAGGGGAAAAGGATGTTCAGTGTCATAATTGTCATTATAATTATTCTTATCATTGTTATTATTATTATTATTATTATTATTATTATTATTATTATTATTATTATTATTATTATTATTATTATTATCATTATTATTATTATCATCATCATCATCATCATCATCATCATCATTATTATTATCACCATCATTATCATCATAATTATTACTTTTACTATTAATATTTGTACTGCTATTATTATCAATTATTTATAATTACTTTTTTATTTAGTAAATAGCATTTTATTGTTATTATTATTATCATTAAAACAATTGTAATAATAACGAAAGCAGTAGTAGTGATAACAGCAGTAATGAAAGTGATAATAGCAATAATAATCATGAAAATAATAATAGTATTAATGATAATGATAATAATAACAAAAATGATAATAATACTTACATTTACTATCATTTTTGTTTATCATCATTATTATTTTTACTGTTATTAGGATTTCTATATTTATTATCATGTTTATTGTTAGAGCTTTTATCATAATTAGTGTTATTATCCCTCTTATTTTTTATTATAATTATATTATGTGTATTCTTTGTATTACTTAATTCTCATCAAGTTCTTTAGTATTTCATTGAAAATGTATGTCACTCTGAATTAGTTTATAAGCAAAGTCACAATCAAAATTCTTTTCCCCTGTAAATTCAGATTAGTGATCTTAATTGATCTGTTAAGGTATTTTGGATCTCACCACACCATGACACGAAGGCAAAAGGCAGTGTAGGTCTTGTTGAAAAAGAGGTTATTCAGGAAAGTGAAATGGATTTCTTCTTATTCTTCACCTTCTCTTCCTTCTTTTCCTTTTCCTTTTCCTTTCTATTCTTGTTCTTGTTTTTGTCTTCCTCCTGGTCATTTTCCTTTTCAATCTTGTTCTTCTTCTCCTTTTCCCTCTCTTCATTCTCTTCCTCCTCACTTCTTTAAGCAGTTTTGACAGCATCATAATAATGAGTGTTTGTCATAGGATCAGCTTTGTCTTAATGTGTGGAAACATACAATTTCTACAAGATTTTTTTAGGAATTGTAATATATTAACTTTTTTCTGTCCAATTTTTTTTTATTATTATGAGTATTGTTGTTTCTTGACATTGTTATAAAATGTGTAGCAAGATTGTTATTTTCAAATGAATGCATAATTTGTGTGTGCAATAAAGAAATGATTTGGTAAGACATAAGTATTTCATTGATAATCAGTTTCTCAAAAGAAAAGTTTTAATATATGCAAAACTTTTCAAGGTGCCAAATCACAATATTTTCTGTATTATAGTTGTGCATTGCATTAAATAACCCAAAGGGAAAGAATGTGTGCAATATGATAAGTTTTATTGTAATTCATTTCCACTTTTTTTACTCATTTTTATTTAAACTACTTTCAAAGTTTGCATCTTATATTACCCCAGTGCCACCAGGGGTGGTCTTTATGTTTATGCGAAGTCCAGTGTGTTTTTAGTTTATTTATTGTGATTACACATAGATGGCTCCACAAGAACTTTGTCACCAAGGAGTCAGTCACTAGTCCAACGTGTCCCACATGCTTTCTTCTTGATTTTTGGAAATATAAAACAAAGTTAATGTTATTAGTATTTTAATGACACTTATTATAATGTCAGTAATAATAATAACAATGTCAGTGTTAATAACATTAGAAATAAAATATTTCTCCCACAAATTCAAGAATGGTGATATCAGATGAGGTCAGGGAGGCCTACTTAGTGACTCTAAGCACTTGTAGAGTCATCAGTGTGTAAACAAAATTAACAAAAAAGTACAATTGGACAGTTTGTTTACCTGGTGGCAATGGGTTAAGTCTGAATCTTATTAGCATCAATGTTCTATCAATTTTCATTGAACAAATATAACAGAAGAATGTTTATTAAACACTCATGTATATTTTTCACAGCAGATCGATATAATAATTTCCTTTAATATAATCTTAATACAAATGACTTCAAAAGTTGTTTGTTATTCCAACAGAACAGAGCCAATAATTACCACTTGAAAAAAACAGTGAGAAGGTGCTCAGCATGTATATCAAACATAGTGAATAATCTTAGAAATCCCATGAAAGTGGGGACTTAGGTGTTGTGTTTATATTGATATGCAAATTCAAGCACAATTTTTGTAACTTTCAATACCAACTACACAGTTGTACCCTTTTTGTTTATATATTTTTATTATATTTATTCTGTTTTTAATAATAGTAGTATTTTTATACCAGTTCTGAGAAAACTTGAGGATAAATCACACTTACTATTAACCCTCTGTGCCAGGGCATACCTGTGAAGACGTGGTTGATAAAGCCCGATCTTAACCTATCTTGTGTACTCCCTAAAAACCTGTCTGCTCCCCTCAACACCCCACCTCTCCTCTGGCAAGCTCTCATGTTTTCATTTTCACAAGAATCATCACCTTTAGTTAAGCACAATTTTCATTCAACTATACCTGTCTAAAGAGGTAACCAAAGTTTATTGATCACACACCCACCGACATGCCCTGGCCTCAGGGAGGAATAAGTTGCACGAAGCCCGGCGTCTAGGGGTTAATTATTTATGAGCAATTAAATTGTTGTATGAGTTTGCTTTAAATGTCATGATTAATCCATTATGTTCTTCATTGTAAATAGCATAATTATCAAAGCATTTTTTTTTTTTTTTTTTTTTCACAATACTAAATGGTAAGTAGAATAGTTCTGCTTTCCCCCCCCAAATTATGTTTTTTTTTTTTTTTTTTTTTTTTTTTTTTTTTTTTTTTTTTTTTCAAAGTTTATATTTGGCATATTAGGTTGAGCAGTCAGCTGTGGTTAAACACTGGCAGTACAAAAATATGTAAATAAAAATGAATTAATTAAGCATTATATAATTATTATGGTCTCCATGATGTTTAATTATTGGTTCAGATGCAATGCAGTAATTGAAAATACAGGGATGTTAACATGACTCACACTGGAATGAGATTGGTATAGTATTTTATTAAGACCATCCTGACTTACAGGTTTCCTCTGAAAAGTAACACTATTACTAGATGCTTTATTTTTCAAAGTACTAGAATTTTAATCCAAACAGGACTAGTACCAAGGGCTGAGTGCAATATATGATTTTTGTTTTATTATTCATTAATTTGTTTATATTAAAAACTATACTCATTCTTCTTTTTCAAATCTTTCTTGTATTCAACATTGAATAAGTTACAAAATTTATTTTCAGTTTCCATATCTTTTACTTTACAGAATTGGGCTCACAGATGAACTGTTAAAGATTTGGCAGTAAAACATTATCTCGGTAAATCACCATACATTACTTAAGTATCCACGTGTCATGAGTTCAAAAAGCAAGAAACAGATAGAGAAACAGTAATTTATACATGTATTACAAGGAGCAAAAACATAATTGTATGAATGGGTAGGCTAAGGTGATCAACAGTGGCACGTTTTTATCAACAGATGCATTTTAGTGTGTCTTTGCTCAGAGCATGTCTTTGCTTTTCAATACATTAGACAGATGTGCCTTATGTAGCACAAATATTCAATTCAGCTATTAAATATTTGATAGAGAGGTTTGTACTTTTTGTTTTGTAAACAGTACTAGTTGAATGTTAAAGGTGTTAAAAGTACCAATATGGTGAAGCTGAAATAAAATATCAACCATAAGAATGGAAGCATCCAGTTTTAGATTTCTTTTTGTTTAGTTAATGTCAATTGACATTGGTGAAAAATAGTAAAAAATTTATGTCCGACAGAAACATTGCGTGCAAAACATCCTATGTAATCACTGGAATGTGACCGCAAAAGTTTAGGGATTGAATTGAGAAGACAACCTTGTAAAAGCAGGAAAAGATGAGTATTTGATGACTGAATTAATGTGTAATATTGATGCCACTGGATATTTTTTTAATCATGTTCTTTAATCAGGAAATATAAACTTTCTCAATTTGCTTATTGAATTGTTTGTATATAATCCTTTTCTTTTTCAAATAAAAGATTCAGTCACATCTGAACTGTTTGTTTGCATAAGTGAACCTATATTAGCATTTGGTTTTGTGCACCTTATCCCCTCCCTTTCCTAGGGCCTGATGGTTGTGGGTATCTGGTCATCAGACGGGTGTAGCCGTGAGTACTTTGATATTTCCCAGGAATGGCTGAACTAGAAGCGTGCAAAACTAAAGGTGGTGTGTGAGTTCTCAGGTAGCTGGCAGCATGAATAGGCTGACCCAGGCAGAATGAGGGTGAGTGGGGCTTTTGGGGGTGGAGAAAGGTTTGTAGGGCACAGAGATGGTGAACTAAGCTTGGCATCTGTAGATTACAAGTTTATTGGATACAGATGTGTCTTGGTGCCAAGCTGTTAATCTTGTTTTTGTGATAAAGATGTTTAATTGTAAAATATGGTACAAATGCCTTGAAGAGTACAAGAGACCAATAACAATGGTAACATTTTGATGCAGATTAAGAAAAAGCATCTTAAGATGAAGAAATAATGAAATAAAATGCAGCATCAGATACACAAATACAAAAAAAGAGGACACCCACAATTTTTTTTTCTTTACTGTGCTCAAAATATGATCATAAGTCAAACCTTGAATATTATGTTATATATTAATGAAGTAAACTGATTAACAAAAATATTGTTACTTGAGTTACCAATAAGGACTCAACCCAGTCGTGCCAAGTACAATACACTGTCTATAGCAGTTTTATTAATTGTTTATACATGGCTGACTTCACAAGTACTTTGTCACCAAGGAGACTATGCTTGCCTAACCTTACCTGTTACCCTATTCCTGAGGTTTCATTTCTGTTAGTATTATTATTGTTTTGAGGACTATTGTGTTTAATTGTCTAATTTAAATAATAAAAACAATACTTACTAAAATATAACCTTTTCATTTTAAAAATTCAAGGAATCTACCAGGTACAGTCAGGTAAGCCTACTCGTTGCCTCCTTGGTGACTAAGCGTATGGAGCATCTAGATGTTAACAAAATTAATTAACTAATATTACAGTGGACAGGTTATGCATACATGCCTTTAAGTCAATGGGTTAAGGCTGTTGTGCATTATATTTATGTTTTACATTCTTTGGCCCCCCTAATCCCATGCC